CAAGAAATAAAATTTTAGAAATAAAAAGCAGAGTATATAAAATAGAAAATGAATAAAGGATTTGAACCTCACAAAAGATACAAAATGGCCAATAACCACATTAAAAGATGCTCACTGAAACCACAATAAGAAACCTCTTCCTCAGAAGTCAGAAAACATTTCCTATAAAGAATCAGAGAGTAAGTAAGTATCTTAAGCTTTATAGGCCACCTATAGTCTCTGTTGGGAGCTCTGGTAGCATAGTGCCTAAGGCACTTGACTGCTAACCAGAAGGCTGGCGGTTCAAACCCACCAGCCACTCCTTGGAAGGAAGGTTGGGCAACCTACTTCCGTAGTGATACTGACTCAGAAACCCAAGGAGGGGTCACTACAAATCGGTCCAACTCGATGACACATAACAACCATAACATAGTCTCTGTTAGGAGCTCTGGTAGTGTAGTGCCTCAGGCACTTGACTGCTAACTAGAAGGCTGGTGGTTCAAACCCACCAGCCACTCCTAGGAAGGAAGGCTGAGCAATCTATTTCCATAGTGCTACCACCTCGGAAACTCAAGAAAGGGTCGCTAAGAGTTGGGTCTGACTCGACGGCACACAGTTTCTGTTGCAACTAACACAAAAGCAGCCAAAGATAATTCATACATCTATTTATAAGAAGATGTAGGCCATATTTGAACCATGAGCTGTAGTTTGCCAATCACTGCTTTCCACACTCATGAGAATGACTTACATTAAAATGATTGACAATCCCAAATGGGAGGATATGGAGCAAGTGAGTATCTTTCACATTACTGATTTGAGTATAAAATAGCACAACCACTTTAGAAAAGTGTGACAGCTTTATATAAATCTAAACATATACTTACATATAACCCATCAATTCTTCTCTCGGGTATTTACCCAAGAAAAGGAGAACATATGTCCAGAAAAAAGACTATTCGTGGATGTTTAAAGCAGATTTATTCGTAAAAGCAAAAAAAAAAGAAACACAAAATGCTCATCAAAAGTGGATGGATTTAACATATTGTGGAAAAATCTATAAAATGAAATATGATTCAGCAACAAAAAATAATGGACTACTGATACACAAAACAACCTGAATCTAAAGAACATTATGCTGAGCAAAAGAAAGGAGTGAGAGAGTAATGCATGGTTCCATTTATATGAAACACTAGAAAAGACAAATTTAATCTACAGTAGCAGAAAGCAGATCAGTGGTTGTATGGGGTAAAGGTCAGAGAAAAACTAGGAAGGAAAACAAAGAACCCATCTAGGTAATAAAAAATGTTCTACATATCTTAATTGTGGTAGTGGTAACATTAGAATATTCATCTGTCAAAACTCAAAAAATTACACACTGAAAAGGGCTGCATTTTATTGCATGGAAATTGTACTTCAAAAAAGGAGATTTTAAAAAATTATTCTAGGATAATTCTTCAATGAGAAAAATTATAGGTTCATGGATAAAAACCAAAAAACCAAACTCACTGCGTTGAGTCAAATCCGACTCACAGCAACCCCTCCTTGGGTTTCCAAGGTGGTATCTCTATAGAAGCAGATTGTCCAGTCTCCCTTCTGAGGAGTGGCTGGTGGGTTTGAACCACCATCCTTCTGGTTAGCAGTCAAATGCCTTAGGCACTACACCAACGGAACTCGCAGGTTCATGGATAGAAAGTCTAAATAACAAAGTCAGGAAGTCTCCCTAAATAACATAAAGTCAGGTAGTCTCCCCCAAATCAGTCTACAAATGTTAAAACCCCAAGCAAAATTGCAGTTAGACATTCTTGAGAAATTCAGTAAATTTTCTGAAATTCACATGGACTAAAGTTTCAAACAACTAAGTCAATCTTCAAAAAGGGCAAAAAAAGAGTGAGTTACACAGAGATTAGGACAAATCACAATGCCACATTAACTGGCATAATTTGAACCATGGATCACAGTATAGAGAAACTGATGGATCAGAATATAGAGCTTAGAGACAAATTTAAGAAGACATGAGAACTTAAAGTACCATAAGCAAAGATTAAGCCCTTTGTCAAGGTATCTAGTGGTACCACAGAAGATAAGCCTCGTGATCTGCTTCCGTTATTACAGCCAAGAAAACCCTATGGAGCAGTTCTACTTTGTAACACACAGGATCATCATAAGTTGGAACTGACTCAACGGCAGCTAACAACAATGAATCATAATGGCAGGCATACAAAACAATAGAAAAACAATAACTTACTAGGTGTTACTAGGGAAAATGGCTCACAATATATAAAACAAGCTGTAAGTAAATCTCTACTTAATACTACATATAAAAATGGATCATTGCCTACTTTGGCGAGTAATGACTAGGATCTTAAAAGCTTGCAAGCAGCCACCCAGACGCAACAACGGGTCTCTCCTCATCCAGAAAAAAGAAGAATGAACAAAACCAAAGATTCATGGAAACAGTCAGTCCTAGTGACTGGTACACCATGTTTTCCTCAGCCTATACAGCTATGAGAGCAGGAGAAGTACATGGTGCCCTGCTACCACTGTCAGCCACTCGGAGGGGGATCTTTGTAGGAGATCCTGGATAGAGTGGGAAAACAATGTAGAACAAAACTCAAAATCATTTGAAATAAAAAAAGACAGGTTTGCTGGTCTGATAGAGCCTGATGGAACCACTGAGACTATTGCTCCTAGCTTCCCTTTAGTTCTGGACTTGAACCCACTCCTGTGGCTTCCAGCCAAACAAAACACAGGCATATGAGGTGAATATTTACACTAGGGAGATATATTCCTTGTAAAGAACAATCATGGGAGAATAGAAGGCTTGTGTATGCGCAGAGAAACAGCTTAGGGGGCAGGAGTGCATGGAGGGATGGACACAGGGAAGGAAATAGGGAGAGAAATGTTGCACTGTGGTAAATTGTAGTCAGTGTCATGAGACAAAATGTGTGTGAACTGCTGTATAGAAAGTGAATTTGCTCTGTAAACTTCCACCCAAATCACAATTTAAAAAAAATGGATTATTGGTGAATTAAAGACTTTATGTGAAAGGTAAAACTATAACTTAATGAAAGAAAAATTTAAGAATATCTTTATGGCTTATGATTGGGTAATGAATGATCTCATAGGCCCAAAATATAAAAAGTCAAAAAAAATCAGTGACTTTGTGTGGTAGTAAATTACTTAGTGTGGCTTTTCTACCCATAAGTCTTTGTAAACTCCAAGGTGGGATTTTCTATGAGCAACTGAGGAGCTCCTGATTGCTGAAGTTGTCCACCTGGGTTATTTCTGTTGGGCGTGGCACAATACAATGTTCTGGGAGGTTCCCACTCTCTCTCACGTGCTTAGAGTTCTGATGCTATAATTGGCTAGCTTGGCCACTCTGCCAAGCTCAAAAGGAGGCCTCCTAGAGGCAGAAGTCTCTCTGACTGCTGGCTGAGGAAGGATGCGCTCCTGCAACAGATGTGCTGCTACAAGAGACACGTGCTGCTAAAAGAGACACGCACCCGGAAACAGACACGTGCTGCTGGGAAAGAGGCGCAAGAGACACGCATCACTGAGTGAGACACCGAGGGACAGCACTGCTGGGAAAGAGACTGTGAGAGACTGTTGGCTGAGGGACAGTGGGCTGGGAGAGAGACTGAGCATTTTTTTCTGAACTTGAATTGTAGCCTGTGGTGCTTCCCTAATAAACCCCATAATCTGTAAGCTCTGTGTGGCCACTGCAGTGAATTATCGAACCCAGGAGAGAGGTGGTAGGTGCTTTGGGAGGAACGCTTGGTTAAAGGGCTGGAGGGAGGCAACATGTGTGGCCTTGCAGTAATAGGCCTTGGGTTACTGCTGGTAATCTTGTCTTCCTCTTGTGGGATTAGAGGAGGTCAGAATATGTGTCCTCCCTGCCCTTTTCGCACTTGATAACATCAAAATTTAAATTTTTTTCTAACAGAGGACACAGACAAGTGACAGATAAAAGATTATCTGCAATTCCTAAGATCAACAACAGACTAAGACTTAGAATATACAAGTAAATCCTGCAAAATATGAACAGGATAACCACAAAAAAAAAAAAAAAATGAACAAGTAGTTTAGAAAAGAAACACAAAAATCTAAAAAAGCTTATGAAGGAATGCTAAAAATTGTTAGCTGAGTAATTCAAATTAAAGAGAGGTTATCATTTGAAATCCCATTAGACTGATAAAAGCTAGTAAGCCAAATGATGTCTAGTGCTATCTAGGACATATAAGGATGTACAGGATTCATCATGAATTGCTGGCTGAGTCTAGAGTGAGTCAGCCATTGTGAAGAGCAATCTGGCATAATTTCAGAAAATTAAGAATTGCTCTAATTCAGCAATTCTGCCCCTGGTACATATGCCAAAGAAATTTGCAAAGATTCAAGAAGATGCTAAAATATTTCTAAGGGCAGGGGAATTTGAGGCAATCAATGTCTATCACTATGGGGACTGGCAGATAAAATGGAGCAGATGTAAGTGAGCACTATCCAGCAGACAGAAGCAATGGGCCAGATGTACACATAGAACATGATGTATCTTTTTTTTAAAAAAAAAAAGTGCTGAACTGAAAAAAAGTAATAAACAGAGTGATATATTACACAAAATTACTTATGTGAATTAAAACACATACATAAGAAAAACACAATTCTAAAAATCACAAACAAAAGAGGACATGTTAAACATATTATTCTAGTGGGCTGGTGGATGGAGGTAGAGGATGGAGGGAAATAGGACAAAACAATATATCAAATGAAAAGAGTCTTGCACGAAACAGTAATTTTAATGTGTCATGAAAAGAGGAGTATAATTCAACTCTGAACCTGAGGTACAATCAACCAAATAAATAAATGAAAACAGAATCAGTTAATATTCTAGTAAGAGAAAATTCACTCTTAAATAATCCTTCAAAGATGTGCTTGAAGTTTCAAACATAATGCTAGACAAACAAAAGCAGCATAAAAACGTATCAGAGAAATGTCTTTAAAATTTTTTTGAAAAAAGATGAAGATACCTGAGGTATATTGTGTTTTCCATACTTCCAAAACTTATTGTGTGATAAAAGACACTTAAATTTCTCCTCCAGAGAATCAAGTTCATTATCAGACAGGAGGGTAAGCAATTTCTTTAAGGCCAATAAGGAACAAGTTATAACTCGATAGAATTTTGCTTGTCTTTCTTCTTCTGGAACAGCTCTTAATGTGGTGGAGAAAAAAAGAAAAATGTGTTAAGGATTGAGAATAAGCCAGACTTCTTATGTGGCACTTCTATTTTACAAGTATTACCATTAAATATCTACCCTAGGTGCTTTCAAATGACAAAACAAATAGGATTCCTTAACATCACTTTTCTTTATTTCTATCTTCTTTTCCCGCTATGTCACCTTCCTTCAAAATACAAACACTTAAAAGTTTTACGCACATATTTTACTACTAATACAATACAAAAAGAAATGCCATGATTTGAAATAAGTGTACAATTATATTGCTTTCAATAGCAGATAAGTTATTCTAGAGAAAGGAGATACCAATGCATTAAAGATTAATTCCCCTTAAAAAACCATAAAGTCTAATTAGAACATAAGAAGAAAAGTAAACAGAACATTTCGCTACTCTTTTAATAGAACTTTTCATAGTTCTTCAACTATTTGCAACTAAATATTAAAACAGGATCTGCTATGACTGACAAGAGGTAAATTTGGGGGGGTAAAAAACATTTCTTTCTAAAAGAACCAACTGTATGTATGTTGTTGTTAGGTGCTGTCGATTTGTATCTGACACATAGAGACCTTACGTAAAACATAACGAAGCACTGTCTGGTCATGCACCATCCTCACAATCCTACTATACCTGAGCCCTTTGTTGCAGCTACTGTGTCAATCCATCTTGTTGAGGTCCTTCCCCTTTTTTGCAGATCCTCCACTTTACCAAGCATGATACCCATCTCCAGGGAATGGTTCCTTCTGACAACATGACCAAATTAAGTGAAACAAAGTCCAGCCACTCTCACTTGCAAGGAGCATTTTGGCTGTACTTCTTCCAGGAAGATTTGTTTGTTCTGGCAGTCCATGATATTTCAGTATTATTTACCAATACCACAACTCAAAAGCATCAACTCTTCTTCAGTCTTCTTTATTCACTGTCCACTTTTCACATGCATATAAGATTACTGAGAATATTATGGCATGGGTTAGGCACATCTTAGTCTTCAAAGAGACATCTTTGCTCTTCAGGACTTTAAAGAGGTCTTTTGTAGCAGATTTGCCCAGTGCAAAACATCATGTGATTTCTTGACTGCTGCTTCCAAGGGTGTTGTCTGTGGATCCAAGCAATATGAAATCTTGACATCAATCTTTCTCCATTTATCATAATGCTGCTTATTGATTCAGTTGTGAGGATTTTCATTTTATGTTGAGGTGTAATCCACACTGCAGACTACACTCTTTAACCTTTATCAGTAAGTGCTTCAAGTCATCTTCATTTTCAGCACACAAGGTTGTGCTATCTGCCTATCAAGGGTTGTTAATGAATCTTCGTCTTGCATTCTTCTTCATATAGTCCAGCTTCTCGGATTATTTGCTCAACATACAGATTAAGTCAAGTACAGTGAAAGGATACAAATCTGATGCACACCCTTTCTGATTTTAAAACATGCAGAATCCCCTTTTTTCTGTTCGAACAACAGCTTCCTGGTCTACATACAGTTTCCTCATAAGTACAATTAAGTGTTCCAGAATTCCCGTTCTTCTCAATGTTATCCATAATTTGTTATGGTCAACATAGTCAAATGCTTTTGCATAGTCAACAAAACAAAAGTAAACATCTTTCTGGTATTCTTTGCTTTCAGCCAAGATCCACCTGACATCAGCAATGATATCTCCATTCCATGTCCTCTTCTGAATCCAGCTTGCATTTCTGGAAGTTCCCTGTCAATATACTGCTACAACCATTTTTAATTATCTTTAGCAAGATTTCACTTGCATGTGATATTAATGATATTGTTCAATAATTTCCACATTCTGTGGGATCACCTTTGTTTGGAATGGGCACAAATATGGATCCAATCAGTTGGCCAGGTGGCTGTCTTCTAAATTTCTTGGCATAGATGAATAAGGGCCTCCATGGTGGCATCTGTTTGTTGAAACATGTCAATGGGAATTCCATCTATTCCTGGAACATCGTTTTCCACCAATTCCTTCGGGCAGCTTTGACTTCTTCCTTCAATACCACTGGTTGACATATGACACCTCCTGAAATATATGAATATCGACCAATTCTTTTTGGTACAGTGATTGTGTATTTCTTCCATCTTCTTTTGATGCTTTCTGCATCATTCAATATTTTGCCCACGGAATCTTCAATATTACAACTCAAGGCTTGAATTTTTTCTTCAGTTCTTTCAGCTTGAGAAATTCCAAGTGAGTTCTTAACTTTTTGTCTTCTAACTCCAGGTCTTCGCATATTTCATTATAATAATTGACTATTTTCTTGAGCTGCTCCTTGAAATTTTCTGTTCAGCTCTTTTATCTTGTCATTTCTTCCATTTGCTTTAGCTACTCTCGTTTAAGGGCAAGTTTCAGAGTCTCTTCTGATATCCATTTTGGTCTTTTCCTCCTATCTTTTTAATGACATTTTGCTTTCTTCATGTGTAATGTTCTTGATGTTATCCCATAATTCATGTGGCTTTCGGTCACTGGTGTTTATTCTTCAGATGGTCTCTAAACTCAGCTGGGATATAATCAAAGTCATACTTTGGCTATTGTGGACTTGTTTTAATTGTCTTCAGTTTCAACTTGAACTTGCACTTGAGCAATTGATGGTCTGGTTCACGGTCAGCTCCTGGCCTTGTTTTGGCTGCATACTGACTTTCTCCATCACTTCTTTCTACAGATGTATTCGATCTGATTCCTGTGTATTCCATCTGGCAAGGTCCACATGTATAGCCATTGTTTATGTTGCTGAAAACAGGTATTTGCAATGAATAAGTCATTGGTCTGGGAAACCTCTATCATAAGCTCTCTGGCATTATTTCTAACACCAAAGCCATATTTTCCAACAGCCGGTGATTCTTCTTTGTTTCCAACTTTCACTTTCCAATCACCAGTAATAATAAACACATCTAGATTCATGTTTGGTCAATATCAGACTGCAGAAGTGGGTAAAAATCTTCAATTTCCTCATCTTTGACTTTAGTGGATGGTGTGTAAATTTCAATAATAGTAGTATTAACTGGTCATCCTTGTAGGTATATGGATATTACCCTATCACTGACAGCACCGTACTTCAGGATGGATCTTGAGACTTTTTTTTGTGAGGATGAATGCCACACTATTCTTCTTCAATTTGTTATACCCAGCATAGTAGACTATATGATTGTCTGATTCAAAATGGCCAAAACCAGTCCATTTCAGCTCACTAATGCCTAGTATAATCAACCTTTATCCATTCTATTTCATTTTTGACACTTTCCAATTTTCATACATTCATACTTCATATATTCCACGTTCTGATAATTAATGGCTATTTGCAGCTGTTTCTTCCCATTCTGAGTTGTGCCCCATCAGCAAACGTAGGTCCTGGAAGCTTTACTCTATCCCTATCATTAAGGTCAACTCTACTTTGAGGAGGCAGCCTACCCCAGTGGTATTGTGAGTGCCTTCCAACCTGAGGGGCTCATCTTCCAGCACTACATCAGACGATGTTTCAGGGCTATTCATAAAGTTTTCCAGTAATATATCAGACAGTGTTTCACTTCTATTCATAAGGTTTTCACTGGTCAATTCTTTGAGAAGTGGATAGCCCCTTCCTTCTTCTGAGTCTGTCTTAGTCTGGAAGCTCCTCTGAAACCTGTCTACCATGGGTCATCCTGCTGGTATTTGAAATACCAGTAGCATAGCTTCCAGCCTCACAGCAACATACAAGCCCCCCTAGTACAACAAAATGACAGCTCCCAGATAATGCCATTATTAAATAGCAGGACAACCTGTAAGTAAAAATCCTTAAATAGTACTTACACATAGCATTATATTAAATAATTTCATCTCTACATTTAGAATCTTAAAAAAAAAGTCACATTGAAATTAGTCATCTGATTATCCATTAGTGAAATAAATCCTTAACAAGAGTTACAGGGAAATGAAACTACTTACTGTGGGTCACTGAGTGTATTAGGTGTTTCTTTTATAAGATGATCATGCAGCACCTATAGAGAGGGAAAGATCCCAAAGCTTAGAAATTTTATTGAACTATCAATGATGAACAGATAAAGCATAGGTAAGTTAAATTCATTTTAAAAAACCCCACAAACCTCATTTCATCAAATAATTTTAACCCTTTCACCAATAAAATAGTTTCAGAATTGTAACTAAGTAGTGAAACTAAAAAGATTGAATCTTACCTATTTTTCTTCCCCTGGTAGCATAGTGCCTAAGGCACTTGACTGCTAACCAGAAGGTTGGCGGTTCAAACCCACCAGCCACTCCTTGGAAGGAAGATTGGACAATCTACTTCCGTAGAGATACTGCCTCAGAAACCCAAGGAGGGGTCGCTATGAGTCGGGTCTGACTCGACGGCACATAACAACAACAACAACATTATTCCCCTAGGTTGATTGCTACTGGGGTAGAGGACAGGGTACTTTTTACCCACTCCTCCAATTTCCATCAGGAGGAATTTTCCCTTAAATGTACCTAGCCAAGACACTTGCTCCCCCATTTGCAAATAGAGAAAACCCAAACTCTGAATTTGGGAAAGAAATCGGGTTCCTGTTCTTCTCTTCCTTTATCTTGAGAGCCTCCATACCCACAGAGAGCAACATGCACTGTGCTCTGCACCATCATGGACAACAGTGAGGTTCCTCAACATTGGGTAACTCTGCCTACTTCTAGGGTACACTACTAAGGAGTCCACTGCCCCAGTATTGACATTGCAGCCATAATAAAAACTAGCATGTACTGAGCTTTCCCATGTGTCAGTCACTGCTGGGCACATTTCATGCATAAACTAAATTAATCCTGACAAGTCTTAGGAGGTACAATTCCCATTATATAGATGAAGAAATGGGGGCACAGAAAGTTTAAGCAACTTGTCCATGGCTACACACCTAATTAATACTGAAACCCAACAGTAAGACCCAAAGGCTATGTTCTTATAAACAGTATGACTGCATGATATGTTTTTAACTCTAACATTTTGATCTTCACTTGCCTGACTTCTTGGTAATCAATTGGTTTTGAACTTGGAAAAGTACAAACTCAGTAACTAATGAACTGACACAGCCAACTAAAGAGTAAATAAAATTGAGAAAATAATCCACATGATCACTTATCCATCCATAACAAAGTCAAAAACAAAAGAGGAAGCAAAAACAAACAAAAAGATCTGTGAACAGCCAAATTAGTTGTCTCAAAAGTCTATTTTCTAAAACTCTTAGTGACCCATCTCATGACTTCAGTCTCATAACATTTATCACTTGGTATTTCAAATAAACCAATGATTCCCAATGTACACATTAGAAAATTCTCCTTGAGAGTATTCCTACTCCTCACTTATCAACTATCTTATTATCAATATTTCACATCTACAGTAGTAAAAAATCTGCACATTTGCACATTAACAACTTACGTCTGGCAGTAACAAATGCCAACATGCATGGCAGAGCAATAATGCTCACTGTGATTGCTATGTGTCAACTTGGCTAGACCATGATTCTCAGTGGTTTGGCAGCTATGTAATGATGTAATCTGGTAGTTCTGCAATTAAATAGTTATCTTCCATTTCATGATCTGATGTGGCCATCCTAAATTTTCACATAATGTTGATTTTCACATAATGAACCAGTCTTCAGAACCTAACCATGTCAGTAAGTGAAGAGTCGGTGAATAATTAATGCTACTCTCTTCCTAGAAAAACAAGTTTGGCACAACTGAGGAATGAAGAATGGAAGAACCAAGAACCAAAACTGATAACCAGAATGTGTGTTGGGGTGGAAGGGGTGGGGGTTGTTGAATGAGAGCAGATAGGCAGGGGCCAGATCATACAGTCCTGTAGGCCAGATAAGGAATGTGGATTTGTAAATGTAATGAGAAGCCAGAAGCCATAGGAAGGCTGACTAATTGAAAGGAGGAAGGAAAAAGTGAGGGAGGAAAGATGTTTGGATAGGGTTACTAATAGGATCCTATGGAAACACAGTAGTACTAAATAAGGAAATGAATGCAAATATGAATTTATTTAAATCCTCAATTCTCACCTTACTCACAGACCACCTACTTCTATTTCTTTATATAATTCTAACAAGCTTGATTGTCTAACTTTCTCACTCCATACACTGGGAGTAGAAAATGAGGGAAGAAATGAGGAAAACACTATTGTTGTTGTAAGCAACAAAAACTTACAGCTGATATCCATCCAACAAGTGTTGACCAAGTACGGAGAAACTTTCATATTTCTTAATAGGAGCATAAATTTGTATGACCTTTTTGAAAGGCAATCTATCATATCCATAAAAATTTTAAATGTTCTTATCCTTTGACTTCGGAAGCCCAAGGAGAGGTCATTATGAGTTGGCTCCAACTAGACGGCAGTGAGTTTGGTTTTTTGGTTTTATCCTTTCACCCAACATATCTATTTGCATTAACAATCATTCTCAGAAGAGTATGATTAGAACAATCCAAGAATGTTCAATGAAGCAGTGTTTGTAATAATAAATTGGAAAAAAAAAAACCAAGTATATTATATAAAAAGAGTTTTAAAAACCTACTGTACATCCAACAAAAGACAACAAAGAGAGTAAGACAGATCTTATGTGTTGATATGGAAATACGAAGATAATATGAATTTGAAGTTATTTTGAGACAAATTTTTTTTAATCTCTCTCTTTTTAATTTTTATTGTGATTTGAGTGAAAGTTTACAGAGCAAAACATTTTACACACAGCATTTCATACTTTGTTTCATGACGCTGACTATAATTCCCTACAATGTAACATGCCTCTTCTCATTTCCTCCCGTAGTTATGTAGTTACCTCTTCCCTGTGTCCTTTCCTCCTATGCACCCCCACCCCTGAGCTATCTCCCTGTGCAAACACGCCATTCTGTTCTCCCACAATTGACTGCTGACATGTATTTTTTTAGACTATATATTATAAAGCATATACCTAAATATTTAGAGAATACGATATAAATTAAGATTTATAAACTAAACATGGGAAATTTTAGTATTTTAGAAAGATTCAGTCCAACGTGCTAATTTTATTGAAAATTCAGAATGGTTCATTTTGTTAAACACCATTTTAGGAAAACAAGCTTCCATTATCTGAAAATAATTGATTTACTCATCCCCCAACAATGCCAGATATAAGAGCATTTATGGCAATATGCTTTATATTCTTTATCATCTTTGAAAAAAAAAAAAAGGTAGATACTAAATGCTTCCAAAAACTTACATTTGTAATTTCATCCTTACAAAATGCTATGGCTTCAGGTTGCTTGCTTGGAGGGAAAGCTGCTTCAAATGCGTCTTTTGCTGCACATGCAGCTGGTGTATAAGTATCACACTGAGCCATTAGCCAATATCCCATTAAACTTTTTAAATAGGGAGCCAAGTGTTTCTTTACTTTAAGTATGAGTTTCTCAAAAGCTTGCTGTGTGGCTTCTCGAACCCGGCGGTCATGATCCTATTGAAAACACAAATGTGATTTTAAATAATGCTAGCCCATAAAAACAAATGCAGACGTTTCTCGATATGTCATAATGACCCATTACTGAGAATTCACCTATGTACAGAGCTAAACTAAAACCAGTTTTACAAAATATTAAGAATTAATATTTTTAACTTTTTTTAAATCAGTAATTATGTCAAATAGTTGATTGTATTTTTTTATCCATTTGATGATACAAAAGATGGTATCAGATTCAAGGCTGAGCCTTGAATAAGCAAGTCTTCTCATTCTTCTGTAGCAAGCACACAAAGAAATAAAATTAAATAATCACAGCAATTCATTATGATTGGAAAGGCTCTAGTAATTCTCAAGTTATGATCTAATATCTAAAAATACCTCCTACCTACTCCATACAAGCTAACAATCCAACTACCAAACTACAATCTACCTAACTACACTAACATAACATTTCATATCCCTCACTAAAAATGAATCATATAAATCTGAGTCTCCATGACTTCAACCAAAAAAACACTTAACAGAAATAAACTATAAAAGTTTTAATACTTACAAGTGAAATTTTACAGAAAATTCTTGGCCAGTATGGAAGAACTCCTTTCACAACTTCTGTGTCTCTCTCTGTACACATTGTTCCAAATTCCTGCATGGCCTAAAGGTAAATTACTAACATTGTTAGGGATTTATAGTCATAGTATTTGTTATTGATTACACTTTATTCTGTTCTGGAATAAGTCTATTTTAAGTAACGGAAGGACATTTATTTCTGCTTGTGCTAAGGGGAACTAAGTCGAAGAGTTACCTCACAGCTACTCTAATAGAAATTTTTGTTTGGATGAATTAAGAAAAAAAATTCATCCAAACAAAATCCTTTTTAAATTATAGGGTCAAAATTACATTCCCTAATAGGACAAACTGTCCAGTTAAAATTTCATAGTGATTAAAAAAATGAGAGCAACAAACTAATTTATAATCCAGACAGTGACAATTATGCATAAGTCCCTACCTTAGAAACAAGTATAACTGCAAAGAAACTTATTAGTGATAAATTATTGTTAATTTTTCTTTACACAAAATATGCCAATGATCATTTTTATAAAAATAAGAAAACTTGCTTTTAACTTTGTTGTGACATCTTTCTTGGAAAGTTTCCGCAGCACCATCCGGAAATCAGAATCTACAAGATTGTCTATTTCTTCAGCTCCTTGAATAGCAGGAACATAGCCTAGGTCACTTTGAGATGTTCCAAAACCAATAAATCCAGGGACTGTTCCCTGTTCTTTGGCAAGGAGTTCTGCAGCTCGGCCACTGTTTGAAGGCTGATGTAGAGGAAGAAAAAAAAAAAGAGTTCAGGAAGAGTACAAAATTTAAGTTCTTCAGAATAATTCCTTGATTAACCACATGGGTGGAACATGTTTTCACTTGAGGATTTTTGTTGTTGGTGTTGTTCCTAGCCTAAGATTTCAACTACTGTAATGTCCCCAAAGAAAAATGTGCCTGCCATCAAGAATCTGTCAATAATGATGCTAGGAGCTATTTCCTGTTTTCTAAACACCAGAACAGTGTTTTTTCAAATCTCAATACTAGTGCTCATGATATTCACTTAAGAACCATGATTAGTGTTTTAAACAGAACAAAATTTTAGAAATCAGAATTATCATATGTGGTAAGAATAAATACTGTTCTATGAAATTTTTGTTTTGTAATTTTTGTATATTTATATATTTTTGGTGTATATATATATATATATATATATACACTTGTATTTATATTTGAATAATTTTTGTATACATATAGTGGACCAGAAGTGGCATAGTGGATAAGGCATTTGACTGCTAACCAGAAGGTCAGCAGTTTCAAACCCACTAGCTGCTCCACGGAAGGAAGATGGGGCCGATCTACTTCCATAAAGATTTACAGCCTCAGAAACCTAATAGGGGTTGCTATGAGTCAGATTTGACTCAATGGCAGTAAGTTTATATATATAACATACATATACATGTATGTGCACTGTGTAAGATGTAAAATTAATTTTTAAAATGCATCATATTTTTTTTCATTCTTTAGTCATCATATGTGTTGGTAATTGCCATCAAGTTGTTTGCAATTTATGGCAATCCCAAGTGTCCAGAGTAGAACTGATCTACAGAGTTTTCAAGGCTTTACCCTTTCAGAAGCATATCACAAGCCTGTCTTCTGAGGAACCTCCTCTGGCTGGGTTAAAACTGCCAACCTTTTGGCTAATAGTTAATAACACATATGATGAATGAAGAATGAGAAAAAAAGTGATACATTTTAAAAATTAATTTTACATCATTACACAATGTACATACATGTATATGAATGTTATATATATAAACTTACTGGCATTTAGTCGAATCTGACTCATAGCAACCCCCACTGGGTTTCTGAGGCTGTAAATGGTTAAGAGCTTAACTACTTGCGCCACCTAAGGAGGCCTACTCATCATTTATACACACATACACACACACACACACACAAATATGGAGATCTGGCAGCGTAGTGTCTAAGGCATTTGACTACTAACAAGGTTGGTGGTTCAAATCCACCAGCCACTCCAAAGAAGACTGGGCAATGTACTTCCGTAAAGATTTACCGCCTTGGAAATCCAAAGGGGGTTGCTATGAGTTGAAATCAACTCAATGGCAGTGATTTCGGTTTGTGTGTGTGAGTGTGTGTGTGTGTGTATGGGAGCTCTGGTGGCATAGTGCCTAAGGCATTTGACTGCTAACCAGAAGGCTGGAGGTTTAAACCCACCAGCCAGTCCTAGAAAGGAAGATCGGGCAATCTACTTCCATAGTGATACTGCCTTGGAAACCCAAGGAGGGACTGCTATGGGTTGGATCCAACTCAACAGCAGTGAGAGTGAGAGTGAATGTGTGTGTGTATACACATATACGCACACACATACACATATATATATGCACACACATACACATATATATATAGACACACATATATATATATGCCTTTAGACTTTGATAGCGATATACCTTACTCATTCTCACATAACCAAACTCCAGTCCAACCTCTTGAGACTACAAAAAAAAATTACATTATTATAGACATAAAATTCATTATGACAGTGAAGATACAAGATACACCCTGTCTGGAAAAACAGACAGCAGTTTGCTTGACTGAAACATAATACAGCAGCCTACTAGTACTAAAAATGAGAGCTTACTGAGACAGAGTAAGAGAATTTTTGAACTTCTGGAAAAAAAAATTTATTTATTCACTGCCATTTAAGGCAAAAAATGCCTCAGCTAAATCACCCACATGACACTGTTGTTACTGTTACCTGTTGCTGTCCAGTCAATTCCAACTCATAGCCTATAGGACAGGATAGAACTGTCCCAAAGGGTTTCCAAAACTCTAAATCTTTAAAGAAGCAGACTACCTCATCTTTCTCCCAGTGAGTGATGGCTGGTGGAGTGGCTGGTGGCTTTGAACCACTGATCTTTCAGTTAGCAGCCAAGCATTTAACCACTTTGTCAACAGAGCTCCTTGACATGAGCTTCAGCAGGTTAATTAGTTTCTTTAAGCTTCAGTTCTATCATCTTTTAAATGAGATAACAATAAACAAATAGGTTGTTGTCAGATTATGTATGAGTTCTAAAACCACCACAGTAATAATTGATAGCAGTAAGAATCTTCAGAGTGCAACAATGACTCGGTGAAAGTTTGTGGGAGCCTAGGATATTTATAGTCTCAAACTATCACTCCATATATTATTTGCTAATAGCCAATGGAAAAAGATCTCTCCACAATGAGATAATCTTCATGAAATAATTAAACAAATACTACCAATAATGAGAAAAACTGGTGTGCTGCCTGGTGTGATACAATGAGAAAAACCAATCATCTATCAAGCATTTCTGTCAAGAGTTGCTTAACTTGAATCTAATCGTAAGGAAACCATTAGACAAATTTAAATTAACCAAAACAATTAGCCTAAACTCTTCAAAATTATGTTATAGAAGACCAAATAAATAAAATACTGGAAAACTGTCTAGATGAAAAGTGGCCAAAATGCTACATGAAATGAGCAGCCCTTGACCGAATGAATCCAGGAAGTTTTTCAAGCATATATTTTTTAAAAAGTTATACAGATGACTGCTGAAATAGGAATTCAAGGTAACAATATTATACCATAGTTAAGCTTTTTACATGTTACACTTACTCATGGTCATATAAAAGAATGCCACTGTACTTAAAGGATACACGTGGAAGTATTTAGGAGTTAGGTATAATCATGTCTACAACTAATTCTCATATGGTTCAGCAAACTACTTTTATTTAGAATTAACACAAACATGGTCAAATATTAAATAGAAAGCAGATGTGGCCAACTATTAACAATTGGTAAATCTAGGTTAAGAATAGGAGCTCTGGTACCGTAGTGCCTAGGGCACTTGACTGCTAACCAGAAGGCTGGTGGTTCAAACCCACCAGCCACTCCTCGGAAGGAAAGTTGGGCCATCTACTTCCGGAGTGATACCACCTCAGAAATCTAAGGAGGGGTCGCTACAAGGTGGGTCCGACTCCACGGCACATAATAACAACAACAGTTAAGAACAGATGATTTGTCACTCTAATATTCTTGCAACTTTTCCCTTGTATTTGGAGTTTTTCACAAACAAATGTTGAGAACATTTTTTAATTAACAAAAAATATTAAATGAGAATACAAGTAAAGCACATGGTATAGTACTGGCACTGTTACTGTTATTATGGTATCCTTATCTTTCAAAGATTAAGTGAATGTAAAAAAATGTGGTACCAAAATCACAAGAGTGAATCAGAAACAGGAAAAAAGAAGTTTCATAAAATTTGACTATTGTAATAATATTTTTTATGTGCACAAGTTTAATCCACGTTAGGTTCTTTATAAACAGGTATTCAGTGAGTTTCTACTATACCGCAGTCCTATTCTATGCTCCAGGGACACTGCAACAAACAAAACACCTGCCTTCAGAGTACTTGCATCCTAGTGAAGCAAAACAGTATATAAATGACATGCTGTTGTTGTTGTTATGTGCCGTCCAGTCGGACCCAATTCATAGCGACCCCTCCTCGGGTTTCCGAGGAAGTATCACTACGGAAGTAGATTGCCCAACCTTCCTTCCGAGGAGTGGCTGGTGGGTTTGAACCGCCAGCCTTCTGGTTAGCAGTCAAGTGCCTTAGCCACTATGCTACCAGAGCTCCCAATGACATGTTAGCAGTATGTATATTACATGACATGTTACAAGTTGTAAGTGCAACGGAAAAAGCAGGACAGGGAAGAGGGACTGCCATTGAAAAAAAGGGTTATCACACGATCGCAGGAGGCCTCACTGAGGTGCCTAGAACACAACTTAAGCGTCCTCGGAGAGAAAAGCTTTGGGAGTGAGCCAGGCAAGGTCACGGCTCGGTAACGAGGGCAGTGGGGCCGGATGGAGAAAGCAGAGCGGTGAAGATGGAACGGGGCGAAGGGCTTGTATATTAATTATCGTAAGAGCTCTGGCCTTTACCCCGACAATGTGGGCAGCTACTCTATGCTTTTGACAAAGGAGTGACATGATCCGAGTTACCTTGCACACTAATCTCACTTTAACCCTCTCACACCCAACTCCCCTCCTTCCTAGCGCCGCCGTCTTCCCCCCTTACCACTTAAGCCAGGTAACCTTCCAGTTGAAGCAGACATTGAATTATTTTGTAACGAAAATTGCTCGGGTGGGATCATGGTATGAGACAACTTTTCTCACAGCTCCCAATCTGCTCAGAGATAACACACGCCGCCAAGACGCACATGCAACAGAGGTCACACCCAAAACGAAAACACACGTTTCCCTGCAGCTCTGCTGCACACATCTTCCGACCGCATGAACAGCAGAGTTAAGGCTGGGAGGCGAGGACGCCCCGCTCGCTTGGGCAGCCCGCACTCACCCTCAGGTTCCCCTTGGTCCGCTGTTTGTTCTTCCCGCCCATGGTCACGGTCTCAGTCGCAGCCCCACTCCCACCCCCACAATCCCAAAGTTGACGCCGCCGGGCCACAACTTCCGGCCCCTCGCGTGAGCCGGAAGAGGTCCCACTGAAAAAGCTCCCCTGAGCCCGCCCCTTCCACCACCCACCCCACCCTCCCGCGCCTGACTTCCGTGTCCGTCTCGCTCCGCGTCCTTAACCATCCAACCTCAATATGTCACAGTGAAAGGAACGCCACTAAGTGATGTCAGTCCTGCCCAATAGAGAGCCAAGCGTCTGACCAAATCCCGCTTGCGGCGCCTTCAGCAAACAGGATTTCTGCCTTGCATAGTAGTCGTTTGAGTTTAGGGCTGGGTGATCTGGTGGTGCAGTCTACTCTGTTTGCTAAAGAAGTCTTTTCTTGCCTACTGTATCGTTCTCTAGCCTTTAATTTGCCTGTTTTTCTCTGTAGCACTTACTTCTACTTGAAATTAATTAATGTGTTTATTCCTTCACTTGTATATCTCTGTTCTATTAAAGCATCCTGAGCACTTCGTTTCGTTCACTGCTGCATGAGCGCTTCTAAACATGAATGACGCACGGTTGGCACGCAGTCGCTAATTATTGGAGGGACAAAGGAGTGGCGTGCCTACTATGTGCTGGGCACTGTGCTCCCGAGGTGCAGTGTTGAACGAGACGAAAGTGGACCCTGCACGTGGGGAGCTCGGTATGGAGGGGCAGACAAAAGAACACAATACTAAGAAGTGAAGTGCTAATTTGGATTGTGCCACAGGGATTAGAGGAGTACCCAAGCCAGTGCTCTGCTGACTCAAAGCATGAAGAGATAGCCAGACTGAAAGAGTGGTCCATTTGAGGAATGAATAATAGCCCAGGAAACCTGAATGGTAGCTGGAGAAACAACTAGGAGAGCTTTACAGGGAAGCTAAATGTAGGGAGTGGCAGATTTCCTTTTTTAGGAGGGATCATTGGGATGTGGAAAATGAGACAGACGCACTGAATTATCACTAGTGGACAAAGAGGTTTAAGTAAACGTTCCCATGACCTACATCAGAGAACTGCACTCAGGAACCCTTAATTTCTGATGATCAAGCCATAATATCCAACTGCTTCTGGAATTAGGTTGGGTCAACCAGCAAATATCAGAAATTTGAGAGCTAACCCTCTCAAAAAGGTTGCAATGACTGCAAAATATATGATGTTTACCTATTTTCCTAAAATAATTTTAGACAATTTACAGAATTAAACAGGTCAGACAAAAAGTTAACTTTACAAATGGTACCAGACAAAAGCAATATTATACGGCTAGATTTGGGACTACCTCTGGTGGACGGGTTTCAGCTGAGATTCACACAGACTAGGAAGAAAGGCCTGTTGATTTACTTCAAAAAATATGTTGTAAATACCCTGGAGTTGCTTCTGACTCACAGGGTTCCTCATCACAGCCACCAAGTCAATCTGTCACATTAAGGGGCTTTCCCCTTTCTCAGTGAACCTCTACCAAGCATGATATTGTTCTTCAGAGACTGGTCCCTTCTGACAACATTGCTACCCACAAAGTTAGGAGGCCGTTGCCATGGGTGACTTAAACCAACAAAGGCAAAAAAGCAGTGGTCCTCCTTACTGTTAACCTCAATATTAAGTTTGTGCACAAGCTCAGACAGGGAGGGAGGTCTCTCAGATTCTCTAAGTGTTCTCTAAGCTCTTTGTTAAGGCCATCCCATTTGCGGGATATTCTTGTAGTGGATTCTTGTAGTGGATAAGACACTTAACTGCAAACCAAAAGATTGGTAGTTCAAACCCACCAGCCACTCCACAGAAGGAAGACTGGGCAACCTACTTCCATAAAGATTTATAGCCTCAGAGAGCCAATGAGGGTCACTGTGAATCAGAATTGATTCAATGGCAGTGAGTTTGTTTTTGGTTTTTAAGCTTCTTTTATAGGAGCTCTAGTAGTACATTGGTTAAGGCATTTGGCTGCTAACCAAAAAATCAATGGTTCATACTCACCAGGGGCTCCACGAAAGAAAGAGGAGGCAGTCTGTAAAGATTTACATCCTTGGAAACTCTATCGTGGTCTCTATGACTCAGAATTGACTCAATGGCAGTGAGTTTGGTTTTTTAGAAGCTTCTTTTATGGGGTAGGAATTACATCATAACCATATTATACATACAATTATGATTACAGGTTAAGCAAGGAGGACTACAAAGATAGCAGCCCTTAGCATGTCTCATTCTAATGTTGAATCTCCACCCAGGGCTATGTGATTTACTATGCCAATATCCCCTCCCACCCAGATTCAGACTGTTGCAGTCTGACTAGTAATCAATGGTTGATGACCTTCCTCCAAGTTTTGTGAACCTCCTGACCGTCTGGTTTTTCTTAAACCGTTATGTTTGTATTCCCCTTATCTCATTGGGAGGAAGCTTGAGAAACTCTCCAAAGAGCACTATGCATTCCTTTAATGAAACACTGTGCATCTCTTAATGAATACTGTGCATTTTTAGGAATGCACAACATGTGCATCAACATGACCAAAGTATGAGAGACAAGTCTAGCTATTCATACTTCTAAGGAATGTTCCAGCTGTACCTCCTCCAAGACAGCATTGCTCATTCTTCTAGCACTCCCTTATACATTCAATATTCTTCACCAACACCACAATTCAAATGCATCAGTTCTTTTGCATTCTTCCTTATTCATTGTCCAGCTTTCACATGCATATGAGGCTATTAAAAATACCATAGCTTGGGTGAAGCACACTTTAAGTCTTCAAAGTAACATCTTAACTCTTTAACACTTCAAAGAGGACTTTTGCAGCAGATTTGCCCAATGCAATACATGGTTTGATTTCTTGACTGCTGCTTCTATGGACGTTGATTGTGGGTCCATGTAAAATGAAATCCTTGACAACTTCAAATTTTCCTCCATATATCATGATGTTGCTTAGTGGTACAGTTGTGAGAATATTTGTTTTCTTTATGTTGAGGTGTAATCCATACTGAAGGTTGTATTCTTTGATATTTATCAGAAAGTGCTTCAAGTCTTCCTCACTTTCAGCAAGCAAGGTAGTGTCATCTGCATGTCCCAGGTTGTTAATGAGTCTTCCTCCAATCCTTATGCCATGTTCTTCTTCATATAATAGTTTCTCAGATAATTTGCTCAGCATACAGATTGAGTGAGTATAGTGAAAGGATACATCCCTGACACATACCTTTCTTTATTTTAAACTGTGCAGTACCCCTTGTTCTGTTTGAATGACATCCTCTTGGTCTATGCTGTTGTTGTTGCTAGGTGTGGTGGGGTTAGACCCGACTCATAGCGACCGCTCCTTGGGTTTCCGTGGTGGTATCACTACGGAAGTAGATTGCCCAAACTTCCTTATGAGGAGTGTCTAGTGGGTTACCACCAGCCTTCTGGTTAGCAGTCAAGTGCCTTAGGCACTACACTACCAGAGCTCCTATGTACAGGTTCCGAAAATATAGTGCTGGAAAAGAAGCCTCTCAGGTTGAAAGTCATTCAATAAATAAGACTGCCAGATCAACATCATACAGACCACAATGAGCTCAAACATGCTAATGATCATGAGGATGTCATTGTTATAATAAGGTTGCCATTACTTGAAACCAATTGTGGTAGTTAAATTTGTATGTCAGCTTGGCTAGGCCTGGTTGAGTGGCTGGGCAGCTGGTGGTAGTTATTCCCCATGATGAGACTGGCAATCAGCTCCCTGGTGGGATCTACCACAGGCAGCTGAGTAGCTACCTTTGGGATGTGGTCTGTTCCTGTATATAAGGAGAAGCCTTGGGGATAGTCTCTAGCTTATGGCACACTTGGACCCTGCATGTAGCCATGTCATTGTTCAGCAGCCTGCCATGCTCTGCTGACCTGGGGACTTACAATGGACTTGAATTAATGGCCTGCCGTGTGGTTTGGTAACATCAAGATTATGCTATTTTACTTGTCAACCTTGGGCTTGGCAGCCTCAGCAGCAAGCAGCTGTCTGAGTGAAGAGAAGCCTCTAGCTTCACTGGGCTGGGAGCTAGAGGCAGAGCTGAATGCCAAGGGGGAGGGGCTTTGACCTAACCCCTATAGCCTGGCACTTTGAACTCGAACTTGAAGCCTCCAAACTGTAAGAGAATAAATTCCTGTTTGTTAAGGCCATCCCATTAGTGGAATATTCTTTCAAAGTGGCACTAGGTAACCAGAACAATGTTGATATTGAGTCTCCTGACCCCTTGTGAAGTTAGAGGAGGTCAGACTCTCCCCCATGCCCTTTTTACAAAACATTATCCAGAACTGCTCACTTGTGTTCTGCAGGCCTTCCACACAAATGACACCTGGCATGCTAAACTCAGACAATAAGAGCTCCATTATCTAATACAATAATAAAAGCACAAACAGCAAAAGAAAAATAATTTATGAGGTCCTGTTTATTTATTTTGCCTTTTGCTATTTGTGTTTTTGGTCTTATATTAGATAACCCTATGCATTCCTGCCCTCTGAACTAATCCTAATTGTAAAAGCTAGGCCTTACAGCATTGCCCCTGTATTTTCCTCTATGAATTTCATGGTTTTAGTTTTCACATTTACATCCTCAACCTATTTTGAATTTGTTTTTTTGTGTGGTGTTAGGCATTGATCTGTTTTCTTTTTCTGCATGTGGAAATCCAATTTTCTCTACATCATTTATTGAACAGACTCTTTTTCCCTCATCTAGTGGACTTTGCACCCTTGTCAAAAATAAGCTGACCGTAGATAGGTGGGTTTATTTCCGGACTCTCAATTCTATTCCATTGCTCTAGTTGTCTATTAAAATAACAATACCTGGCTATTTTGATTATCATAGTTATATAATATGTTTTTATGGGAGCTCTGGTAGCATAGTGCCTAAGGCACTGGACTGCTAACCAGAGGGCTGGCGGTTCAAACCCACCAGCAACTCCTCAGAAGGAAGATGGGGCAATCTACTTCCATAGTGATACTGCCTCGGAAACCCAAGAAGGGGTCACTATGAGTCGGGTTCGACTTGACAGC